TATGGAAGCGGTAATAGAGGCAAAATAAATAATTTTTACACAATTAAACTCATTACTTGTTTAGAGCATTACTTTCACCGAGATACTCGAGTCATGGGTATGGAGGGGAAAACAATTTCTAATTACAACAGTAATTTTATTTGAATAAAGATTCATATTCCGCTGGCATTGAAACATTGCCAAATCAGTCTCACAGGCTGTAATTCCGAGATATTTTTAAGGACAGACCTTGTACAGATCTATGATTGATTAATAGTGTTAACTTCGTAGGATGATATTGGAACAAACGTTCTCTCCACTTTCTTCCATCAAGTTTCTATTGTTTTTTAACACATTATGTACTGTGAAGACTTTCCCGGACCCCGCGTTATAATTCATTTCTAGCTTGGGCCGCCAGGCAGCGCTGAGAGCTAGTAATTATTATTTACGAAAAATTAGGAATTCCGATCAGGAATCAAACCCGATACTGACGCTAAGTCACAGGCACTTACGACTGTAGCGCCGAACCCACTGGCCGTCCTGAGAGGTCCCGTTTATTTATGTTTCGGTAATTCCTAAACGGAGCCCCCTCCAGCTTGTAAAACAGCGTTACAGTACTTGCCTACTTTAATAGAGAACTAGAAGAAAGAAGGTGTGCGACAGGCAGGAAATGTCATACACTTTTAACTGGATCAAAGACACGAATAATAAGTAATAATATGCAAGTGAGAAATGATATTTGCGCAAGTACTCACACAAAAGGGCAATGGCAATGACGTAGGTATACTCTTGTAGATCATCCAATGGGAGTATATAATATGTAATGTATGCTTATCGTACAGTGATACCTATTTTTAACAGCAGTGACTTTACCTTTGCGCATTAAAACTTTTCCAATTTAATGTATATTCCTGTGTATTGGTGTACTGGAATTTTCAGTGTTCAGGCGATTACGATTAACTTTACTCTACGGCCTTTGCAATTACTTTAAGGTATCTGTAAACATGCAAGAACAGTCGTTGGAGCTAAGTACCTTGGCATTGACCGGTTTGCTTTGTCGAGGTTACCTATGCTTGCATAATCTACTCGTCTCGTTCATCCCAAGCCTCCTGCTACTTCTCGCTGCACTAACTCGCTCACTAACTCACTGACCTCTTTAGCTGTCGCCTTCTAGGTCGTATCGTTTCACTTGGATGGTCTTTTTTTTTTTTTGCATTGTGTGCTTCAATTATTCGCTTCCGAATATACCAATTTACACGATTCTCATTTATGTTTATTATCATTACTATTCTATTCGTATAGAATTTCATGTCAGTAATAAATTATCAATAACGCGCTTTAGTAACTTATACGTCAACGCTCTATCTATATTGACAATAGCCGTGCATCAGCAGCAAGAGAGATAATCAGAGATAATCAGAGATAATTCTTGGTCCTCGACGCTTTTTCTTTATGAGAATGCAAGAGACGTGGATACCTTAGTGATGCGGATATTCGAGTTTGTGTTTTGTGGTTACTCTCGAACCTGGCTTTGTGCTAATTTAACCTTGGATCGACGAAACGGCATCGAAGCTGGCAAAGGTATTGGGAAATAAATAGATCCGTGGCCACCAGAACCCATGCCGCCATATCTATGGACCTTCAAGGTACAATAATTCGTACCTCTTTGCTAATTCCCACGGTGTGTCAATGAACTGCTCTCCTTCGAAACTATTCACCCGTCACACTGTATATGCTTCGAACCGTTTTTCGGAACGCCGTATCCTTAAAATCGGCCACAATGACCTTCTACATTTGTAAATTACTTCAGTCTCAAATTGAGCAACCCAATCCAAAATATCAGTGCTCAGTAATTCGTATGATGACGCGGAAAAGTGCCTCACTCTCTCAAGGCTTTAAAAAAGTTTCATAATCACAAAGACAAATTTTCAATCGCTCCTTCCATTTCCTTAATAATTAAGCAATGCGGAGAAATTTATATTCTCCATGCGTCTCGCTTTCCTCAGCTCGTAACTTTTTCGAATAACGCGTTTTCCCTCGCGAAAAAATCCTCTGTGCGTCACGTGTTTACGAAATTTCAATCGACGGGCTTGCCGCTCAAGCTGATTCATTAATCGAGCATGTCGATGGAATCGTCGGAATCAGTCTAGAACTTGTACCGCAGTTACGTCTATCTTTATTCCTCTGGACGTCATGCATCGCTATGTCTTCTTATGCATTCTCACGCTCGCGTTGATCTTCCTCGTTAGAATTTCATTGCAATTGTAAGTAGTTAAGAATGATCGTTCGTTCCGAAGAGGGAGGGGTGTTGTCAAGGTCACTCAAAGGTATTATCGCTTTGGACGTCGGGTTAGGCTATTTCCTTCTATCTAGGATTTCCCGAATCTAATTGAAAATGACAATTTCTTTGACAGGACAAGCAGCAGCTTGCGGTATATATGATTTCACTTTAAGGATTATGTGAATGTGAATTAAGGAAAAATTGACCGAAGCCCAGGATGCAAGAAGAGTTTCGGAGTTCACGTAATTTTAATAAAAAATACTTGTATTTCTTGTTCGTCGTATAAAAAGCTTTATGTAAATGTCATTATTTCGTCGCGTTTGTGATGCACGAACAATTGTTACTTTCGAGAGATCGTTCGAGAGGGGCGACAGTTAAGGAAGACGTTCACGTGCAAAATCCATAAGCGATTTCGTTTCTTTTTCTTACTTTTTATTTTGGCTCTGAGCACGTATTTGAAATCAGTGACGGATGTTTACAATTTACATTAAAGAGATACCTTCGAGCACGTTTATTTAAATTACGACTATATCACGTCGTGACTTTAACTTAACATTACGACTAATCGTATTCTTGTCATACTACTACGATGCTATTTTTATTATAACATCAATTGTCATATTTATTAATTCGCATGTACACTTGGTGAGGTATGATTTTGTAGCTGTATTCCAATGAATTATTCCTTGTTCGTTAATAACTTGATATTATAACGGTGCATGTTAACTTTCTTCTCGGAAAATTTAGTTATTATTTATACACCGAGAGACAAAATTATTTGAATTTTTTTTTATATTTACTAGGGTCTTGCTTAACCCAATTAACTTTTGTTTCTTTGAGGAATCCCACGTTTGGCCTAATCGCACTACCGTACTTTTGTTAGCATTTAATGCCTGCTGCTTGTAACCAGTGATATTAGTTTTGAGCGAGCGATACAAAGAATTTATCATACGAAGAAAATATTTTGCTAATTAAACTTTTTTACGCGTTTTTTAATTGTATCTCATTACGATGATCATATCGAAAGATTTGGCAAGGACTGTCTGGGATCGGGATATAATTTGTATATCGGATGTTATAAAAACGTGATCAGTGATCGTACTAGTATGTTTGCGATGTAATTGCGACTACGAAATTAATCCAGCAAGGGACTTCGATGTTGAAGCGGCTATTTGTTTATTCAGGATGAAACTGAAGTTGGTTCGTTCGAATGTTTATCGATTTAAATCAGCAATACGTCTCAATTACATGAAATTCTTCATTTGGAGAAACGTTCTTTTCGCGATATATGACATCAGATTTACTTTAATGGAATTTGCTTATCTTAGACATTTCTTTCCCTCGACGTATAAACATAATGTAATCGTACGACGCACGCGGAAGTGTCATGTGCATTCGCCATAGTAGCTGATTGAAAACGAGTCAGATTTAAATTCTTTTAAAGCTTCAAGTGCTGCGACGTAAAGGAAGCAATAAGATTTGTCGGCGCGCAGCATTTCCGGTTTAAATATGACGTTTCTGTAAAATTCCAAATAACTCATATTTTTCGATACTCCCGAAACCCTATTGAGCACTGAAGATGCACTACTGAACCGTTAAACTGATCAGGCAGAATTTATTAGGAATAAAAAAAAAAAGTGTCAGACGAAGTCGAAGCAGAAGAACCAGTGGTTAAGGCGTTTACATATCTCAAAGTTATAGTAGGTTGACCCGGTGCGCAGTTCCAAATATTAGCTAATTCGTCACAATGAACAAAATGATTGTTTTAATCTTCGATGCGATTACTATTAGTAAATTTGCCCATGAGCGTTTACGCTAAATAAGCTATCTTGCGGCTCTAGACTTACTGAAGTCAGCTGATTCTCCGATTAATCGTCGAGTGCATTGACTGTCGGGTTAAACTCGCATAACAACGCGAAAGCTTGTAGTTACCGGTTAGCCTCGTAGTCATGTACTACGTTTGAATCAGATTTAAGAAGGACGATAAGAAGATTGAATTCTTGCTTTGACTTTAAGAATACAAAGTAATACGACAGCTCTGTCGTTTTCACTTCAGCGATTCTCTTTTTTATTAAACATTATTCCGATATTCGTGACTGAAAAACAAAAAGCTCTCAGATACTTTCTGTATACCATGAAACGTCGTAGGGAAACAGCATCGACGAGTTGAGGCCTTAGATCTTTTTCAAAGACTTCAAATTGTCAGGTGAAAGTCACTCGCGCAAATTGTCCGCAAGGTACTTGATATCCATGCTATTCGACATGCGAGGTAATAAAATGAGATTGAGCTGCAAACGATTGACCGGAAATCCGGGTTTTTCCTCGGCTGCCGGGCATCGGAGAAACGAGATCAACGGAAAGACCAACGATGCCCGGAAACCGTGACACTGTTAGCTTATCTAGACTATTTTCCATTGGCGAGAATAGATTTTAAATCGAGCAAGGTCATTCACATGAGCATTGAGTGCACGCGTTGCGTACCGTCCAACTTCCGAGATTACAGTAAAATCTGTGAAACTTAAATGTATTATCTCAATCGATGAATAACCAATAGGAGAGAGACTTCGCTAGCCGTACGGTTGTAAAATATGACAATTTAAGACAGACCGAATTTTCACATACGATTCGATCGAAATACCAATGCACAACTTTTCCTTGCACAAAATTGACCAAAAGTGCGCGATAGGAAAATCCGCGGCATTGCGCGGTGTTATTCGTAAATTTAATGATCGATCATTACCATGGGAGAATTTCCCTGGAAAAAAATCCTCGAAACGGATCTATTAATTTTAGGACGTAGTCCTCTTGAGCACTTCCATGACACAACTCCTTCTGCACGTTGCACCCACTGCACTCTGAAGCTGATTCTGCGCTACTGTCCGTTTCCTTGGAGCGTCGATTGTTTGAGAGTGACTCGCTATACGGACCTTAGTTTACTTGGCGAGACGCCGTGTATATCGCGGGTCTCTCCTTTGACTGGTGCGGAACCCTCGTGTCCCGCGAGTCCTACCCACTTCGTTCCCGCGTTGGCCCCTTCGCCTGCCTCGCCCACCTTCGGTTACATTATCCACATTATCCAGCGTGCCCACCCATCGGTAACAGCCTTAGCTGACATGACTGGGGGAAATATATTTATCTCCTTTCTCATTTTCATCTTGTTCTCTTTCTGTATCTCCTTCCTCTCTTCCGCCTCCTCCTCTTCGCGTTCTCCGCTTTTCGCCCCTCCCGCCCTCGCTCGCCTCTTTTGCGCGTCCAATATTTCGCACGTAAATACGCACCAGGAAACTCGGCTGCTTACTTGCTTTACTATATGCCAATGTACAGTGTACACACGTATACTTGCATGCAGCTGCAATTACGTATATTTATAGGTACATAAGTGATTTCCATAGTGGTGGGAACATAATAACGTGACATTGACCTTAGACGTGCGGGGATATTTTGATAAAGTCATTGCTTGAGAAAACGTAACACCTCGATGCAGTCTTCATTTTGACCGTCGTGAAATATCATGTTAATTTCCGTGCCTCCCGATCGTAACTGAACAATGGGATATTTTAGTTGTACGATACGTGGGAGGAATTGAGTGTCTGCCTAAAGGTCGAAAAGGACTTCAGAATGTATTTGCAGCAGCGTAGTACTAACGCAACGTAGACGGATGTAAAATTGGAAAAACCGAACTCACGGACGTCCTCACCTCTGAAATCATCCCAAGAACTCTTAAGGTTAGCCGGATACTTGTGCCGTAACATCGCTCGGCGTGTTCGCTAAATATTTATGTCGTGTTCCATCGAAGGGACCGGATGGTTGCATTGCTTCGGATTAAAGAAACAATTTAAGACTGAATAATTTCTTGTACGGGAGTCAATCCCGAGAAAATGCATCGCTCCTTTGATGTCATTCTCATGATCCATTCCATACGACACACCTGATCTTGGGCATGGAGAAGATTCGGGCATTGCATTTATACATAAGCTGACGGACGAGGTTTCGCATATGTAGAACTGTTATCCATGCATTCCGATCATGTAGACAATTTTATGTTCCCCATGCATGTGTCATGTCTCCGTAGTAATGTGCCGGACGAGCACCACTAATGACTTCATAATTTAGAACGTTGCCATCCTAAATAGTTGTCTCCTGCTCATTTGTAATCCTAATTAGGTTAGTGCATAGTAATCTTGCTTCAAGGCGAAGCATCGGCATCGAATTACAATTTGTATTCGCGATTCGGCTATAGGAAGCCCAAAATTGTAACAAATATATGACTGGCTTGTCGGTACTATGAGTACAGATATTTATATTCGTCTATAATGCATTACGCAGAAGGCACTGAGTATTACAGTGGAATCTGTAAGTTGTAGACTGAATAAATAATGGCGAAGACTTCTTGAATCTTTCTAGATTGCATCGATACACGCAGAGCTGTTTAAGCTTATTGTGAACATCTAGAAAGTAGGAAGAGGACTAGCGGCATGTGTATGTCACTATGAAATTTGAATTTTCTTAATATCGGGGATATGACAATTTATGAGTTAATTGGAAAATATATATTATCCATTGAGTATAATAAATTCATTATATACATGCTTTCCGTAATAAATAGGCAATCATTAAATGTAACATATCAGGATCGTACGGTACGACTATTTCTCATGGAATCAGGATCACATTTCGTAGCCTCTAATTGTCATTTTCGTAGATTTCTTTGTGATATTCCAGCTGAAATTTTCGAGCATATTAAAATATCCGTGGAGACTAGATCTAGTTTTGAAATGCTAGCCTTAGCAAGTTCGGCATGAACTTGGGCCAAGCTTGAGCTTTAGGTCTCTAGCTTGGTTCAAGCTTTGGCTGGCCACCCAAGCTTGGACCTAACCTTTGCATCCCAAACTCGGGCCATGCCTCAATCAGGCTTTGGGAATCAAGCCTTGAAATCGCTAGCTTGAAACTAGCTCCTCTATTCTTCTGATCCTTCTTATCAGGCATATCAGATGTCGAACTATTAAATAATTTGTTTAACCAGGATGACGAAACATATTTAATTTGCGCCATTCGATCGAGTAAGTCCGTAAATTCAATGTAAACGCAGTTAAATTTATGAAAATACTTTTAAAACTATATTTCTGTTTGCCAAGCTTCATTCGGGTTTGTTCGCCAAGCTCGGCTCGAGAACACCATTCCAAATTTCACTTGCACCAAGCCTGGATGCCAATCCCGATCCAAGTCTCATTGGAATTGGTTCAAGCTTGGCCCGTTTGTTAGTTCCTACTACAGGAATGTAGTTATCGAGGTGCCCATCAATTTTCACCGCTTGTTAGTATTTTAGAACGTGTTTATGTCTTAGGATTTAACGCAATTGCGCTAATCAATTTAGTCTGTCAGTCTCTAATACGTGCAAGTGTCATAAAGGCAGCAGGGCAAAATTGAATATACATATTTTATATATCCAACTAAGTAATGTCCCGAAGATGAATAATACTTGAAAATTTAATTGGCATTGCCATTAATGACGTTTTAGAATGTCGCTGTTTAATATCCACATTTTATTTTATGGATTTCATATATCACGTAACCATTTCGTGGAATAAATACAAGTTACGAGGATTAAATCAGGAATCTCGTGTACGGCACAATATTTTCTTCTGGCTCAAACCAAATTTGGTTCGGCAAGTCATGCGATCCCGGCAATTTTCAATTCTGCGCCAGCATCCTTCATGACGTTGACATGACACATTAGATTCTCGGATTATGACGCCTCTTTGGCATGACGCATTGCGTGCCATCGTAGATTCCGCTGCATACCGTAATATCTGTGATATCTTAGTCGGCGCTGGTTCTGTCATTTTCGATTCTCGTCGGATCTGATTCATCGGAAAGTCGTGCAGTACAGCACCGAATGAAGGTCCTTGTCTCTCTTCTTAGAAGAACCTCGACGCAGTGTATTCTCAGTTTTAGTACATTACGCACATGTTAGATTTTTAAAAATTTGAATTAACGATTTTTATTTGAAATTTTCGACTAGCGCGTATACTGACATACAATGCACGCATAATGTAATACAATTTCATATTTCTTTCAAAACTATAATTTTCAATAGTACATTCATTGGTTACAACATCTTGACGTATGGACATTGCTAGAGAAAATGTATGATCATTGATCATATAGTATTGTGCAAATGAACTTTCTCGAGTATACTTAACTCAGTATGCTACTTTAAAATTTGGATGATCCATGAATACAATTTGGCTGACGAGATGTTCATTTTTTTTCAATTCGACACACTCTGTCACAAATATATATATATATATATATATATATATATATATATATATATTGCGCGCGTTAAGTGCACGTGCTTGGAATATGGTTGAAACGCCAAGGAACTTGGCGAACCTTAAGCTCTCACCTCCGTTCTGTTGCAGCTGGTTCGTGTTCCGTAGCGTCTTTACTTTCACCATAAAGACCAATGTCTGGTTTTTCGAATTCTAATCGTATACACATATGATACTTTTCAACCTACGTGCATATAATGCCTAATTATTTGAGCAAATTCCATCGATTTTCTTGTCCCCACTGGTTTGGCGGGGTATCTGAGACACCGGAATGTTTTTCAAATTACGAAGAAAATTCCGCTACGATTCTCGGGTTAATTGGAAGGAACTTTTACTTTTATCAAAGCAATAATGAATATTCACAGGGGTACAAGTCGCAGCTGGCTCTTTGAATGGGGCGAATCCTAACATGACGATCGACTGGTGAGAACTAGGTTGAATGTTAATTTCAAGATCACGGCAAATGAGTTATAATTCTCTACTAATTAGTAAGTATACGCTGCTGTGTGTAGGCCAACGTCGTCCTTACTTTTTCAGCCGACAATCTGGGTCGTAGAAATTGTGGAAACGTACTCGCGATTATTGTCTTTTTCTTTTGCGCTATCCATAATCTTTATATGCGAACCGTGCGACGAGCTGACGCGTGCGAGAGCTGCATCGCTGGAAAATGCGACAAACCGACGACCCACTCTCACTCCTTTGTAATCCGCCTCGAAAGTTGGAAAGTCATGCTTCGAAAACCTTAACCATCGCGAGGAAACAAAAGCAAAATTACCGCCGGATTTGTCTAATGAATCCTGTTCCTTCTAGTGACCTTTTCCTGCTCTATGTTTTCGTTACACACTTTGACCACGATTAAGTAGAGTGACAAGATTCCTCTTTACGATCGATGCGGCACGTAACTGGAGATGCCACCGGGTTCATAAGCTGGCACAAATATTTTCGAGTTTTAAGCCACGTTTCTTACTGTTTTCGGATTGTCTATGCTCGATTATTATGTTGAACGCGTAACGATAGAACGTGGTAATAGATTGATCACACAAATGAAGTACGAGTATACTACGTATAACGTGCATTATCCATATTTTAATACAAATAATTTATATGAGCAGACATTATGTTAAACTTATACATATAATTCTTATATTGATTTTGCAAAGATATGTATAATATATATTTGGTTCTTCGTACAAAAGTTTTGTATGACGAGTGCAAGAATTGATGATGTACTCTATTTTTATTATTTCGCTTATTCGTCCTTCCACCCTTGGACAGTGCACCTCGTGCCTTATAATTAAAAATCCGAAATAAAGTAATTATAATGTTATACCTTTTTTTAATATAAACGGGCTATATTAAGTTAAATATACTGATGCATATGCAAAAACCATGGTTTTTCAACGAGGATTCCGGATTTTAATTAGTAGAACGATAGTGTGATTCACGTATATAAGAGATACGTGAGAATTATTATATTCGATGTATGCTAATCTTATAACCCGAAATAAGGATTTTCCGGAACCCACCTTGAATCTTATTAGCCTTTGCTGCGAATGGAAAAAAATGAGGAAACTAGTATTTGCTTCGTTGTGGATTCCATGAGCACGTTAGTGCTATTTTCGTGAGTACGATGACCTTGTAGGCGGAGAAGAACGTACTGCAAGCGTGTCGGAACCGGCGGCGACGGCGAAAGTCTTGCTTCGCAATCGTCACTCTCGCTCTAGCGTCACGTTGGAAACGTCTGCTTTGCACT